CTATACCTGGGCTGATTAGAAGAATATTTCCTGGTCTTCAGCTGAAAAGGCTTTCTTTCCCTCCATTTTTTCTTTCCCTTTCTTTCCTCCCTCAGATGTTGTTAATCTCTGTGGGCAAGTTTATTGGAGCATGATATGAGATGTTAACAGTGCCTGTTGCAGATAAAATGGTAGAAATAATTAGAGCTTCTTTATTTTAGGAGATAATCTAGTTTTGAAAAAAGATTTGTGTATTGGGGATAATAGGGAAAAAAATTAATACTTCTTGTTATCTGGAGACAATTTTAACGTGAATCATCAATATTTAGGGTCAGACTGCCTCAAACCGTTTACAAGTGCACAGCATACAGGAGAACACCATTAGCAATTCCTTTATTTTCCTTGCAAAAGCTGCAGAGTATCACAGTGTCCAAAGGTGCTTATATAGCCACCAGCTACAAGGCAGGCCATGCAGTGGGAATATGCCCAAAAAGCCTCGTTCCTGGATTCTGCAGCTTGCATGTGCAATTGACACCAAAGAAAGATCACATTCTAATTTGATCTGACATAAATTCTCTCGGTATGGTTGGGCTGGAAATTTTACCTATCTTGTGGCAATGTGAACAGTGCCATCCCACAGGGCTCTTCTCAGCACAAGCTAGACCAAATCTTTGTATCACTGTGATGAAACTAAAAAGCACAAACTGGTATAAGGCATTTGGACTTTTTCTGATAACAGCGCTGAGGAAAAAAATGTACTGAATGCTAAAATACAATAACATCTGTTTTACAGGCCTAGAATAAAATGCTAAGTACAGTAGTCCTGTGTTCAGGGATTGCTTGTAACATACATCATCCATTTGAAGTTGAGAAATTGCCCTTGTCTTCTGCTGTCAGACAAAGATAGAATAATTCCTGGAAGTTTGGTGTTTCCTGTCATGACAGTTTGCTGGAAGCTCTTTTCTGGGCAAGAGAGACTTTACCAAGCCAGCCTGAACTTTAGGATACTCTACAAAGTATTTTGTGTCTAAACCCCCCTGGAGAAAAGAGAAAAACTGATTTTGGCTCACCTTGAGATCAAGTGTCTGACAACTGAGGAACTGGTGGACACAGGTTCTTGAAGATTTGGGTGATGCAATCCCTAATGTTTTTCCCAGGAAAAATTATCTATTAGACCTTCCATTGGGATGGCCATCATGAAAATCTCTGCAATTCAATGTTTGATGAGGGGGAGAAAGGCAGAAGGGTTGGTTGGATTTAGCCACAAGGAAACTGAGTGGTTTGAGAAATAAAAAAAAAAAATGCAGTTTGGCAACTTCAAGGCTGCTGCTAGATGAACTTAATTTCACAAGCAATATGTGAAAGAAATGAAGGTGATGGCAGCAATCAGCAAAAAGTCAGCATAGAATCCAGAAGAGAAAATAGGATAGAAACCAATTAGTTGGCTGAAAAATCAGGAGATTAATCTGAGTAAATAGTCAGGCAGTTCCCCTGGGTCATTACAACATTTAACAACAGTACCAGGACTTCACTGATGATGAAGAGCAAAGAGTTACTCAGTGGCCTAGTCCTGAACAACAGGCTACCAATGATGATAAAATCTGGAATTTTTTCCATCACAGAGAATAGAACAGTGAAATATATGGAATAGGCTAATGAAAAGAGGAATGGACTAAGGATCAGAGCTTTTATTTCTGTCAAAGGCCTTCTCTGTTGATGGTGACAACAGAGAAATCTCATGCTCTGCCCCAGTTTCCTAAGAAACAAAGGATGCAGCAGCCTCACACTTTGAGTCACAAGAATGGCCCCCACCAACATAATTCAAAAAGTGAAAAACTCTCTAAACAAAAATACCAAAAATTTTAATGAACGTCTTGCAAACAAGAATGAGTTCACAAACTCTTATTTCTAGAACATATTCTATTATGGGAGAAAAAAAATTGAAAAAGCACAAACATATATGTGAATTAGATCCTTTGGGGGCAGGTGCAGACAATTTACAATGACTTGGGCCTTTCCACTTGCTATTTAATCTCCAGTTAAGGGGTGTTCTGTAGACGAGCCCCCGTGCAGACAAATAGCCAAATTCCAGGAACAGGTTTTAAGGCTGTCTTGAACATGCAGCTGACTACTCACACTGCTTCCCAATATATGTAGTATGGAGGTGTGCAAGAAGACATCTCAAAGTAGGTGGAGGATTTTTTAGAGAACACTTCCCTCTGGCAATTGCTGACAGAGGAACAGCCTGTGACTCTGTTGCCAGGTGGAGGAAATGATAGCAACCCCTGTGGCTATTAATTGCTGCCATTAACAACATGGGCAATAGGTGGAAAGATAATAGAAAGGCAATGCCATCTCTCTGCCCTGCCTCCAACTGCTTAGCCTGAAAACCCAGCCTGATGTTTATATAGTGTTCTCAACCTGTAATCTGCTAAATCCTGCGATTAAATAATTTTGCTCAAGGTTATAACTGGTTTTAAGTTGCACAGTTTAACAGCAAGCATTAGAATTGACAAATGCCATTCCCTATTGAGTAAGCAACTGAACTTAAGCCTGGGGGCTGAGAGCTGGAAGAGCAGCCAACAGCTGTGAAGGGAAGTAACTCCAAAAAAAGGAGAGTATTTTATTGGCATCTGGGGAAGAAGAGGAGAAAAGGGAAAGGGGGCAGTATAGAGCCTAAACATTTTTTTTTTTTTTTTTTTTTTTTTAACATGGGCTGTTCTGTCATGTTTGGTGTGTGGGCACATCCTCCTAGAGAAATAGCCTCCAGCATGGAGTACAAGTCCTGCATCTCAGGTGGAAAAAAAAAAAGGAGAATTCTGTGCTATGTCTTGTGAACTGCATAATGGTTACTGAGAGCAGAGGGGCAGGAGAGAATGCTGTGGGAATGTTTCCCCTGTGGTAGAAGATGGCAATAATGTTCAGCACCATGTCTGGTTTTGCTATGAACTGAAATGGCACCAGCTATGAAAAGCATCTATGAGCTTGGATCAAAGGAAGGCAGGTTTGAAGAACTGATCCCTTGGGTGCTGGAGGACATAGACCTCAAAAGACTGATGCATGCAGGCATAAACTACCTGTAGACCTAGTCTTCACTGAGGACTGTGAAATATGAATATTCATACATTACTACCTTAATGTGATAATCTGTTTACCTGTGCAGCTGGCTTTTCTATTTCCCTCTTTAATGAAAAATTGTTACCCTTGAAAATGGGGAAAATTAGCTCATGAGGTACCTGAAATTTTTTCCCAGATTTCAGGCTTGAAGATGTTGGCTTATTAGCGGCCCTTGATAAATTTTAACTGGTCCCTGTGATTGTCAAACAAGTGCTGACACAAGTTAGACTAAGAATAATTTAATGCAAGATTAGACCAGATGATCTCTAGAGATATTTTCCAATCTAGACTTTTTTATGATGGTATAAATGGATGATTACTTTTTAATAGCTGCTTGACTTAGAGGCAGAGCTATGTGAATAACTGATCTTTTGGCTAACTGGATGAACAGAAGGTCGAGAAGGGAGACACAGTGTTGGGAAACAAAATTTTCCAACTCTCGGCAAGCTTTCCTCTCCCATTACAGAAACACTTAGCATTGTCTCAAGGCATTGCATTCCAGGCAAAATGGAACAATTTCTACTCCTTTCAGAAAGACTATATTCAGCTAGGGTTTTTTTGAACAAAATGCTACTTAGGATGAAAAATCAAAATGTTTAAAAACGCATTTCAAGCTTTTAAAAAAATGTGTTGTTTTCTTGAGGGAACTATTCATGAATTTCTGAAGAGGCGACTGAAAGCATGGATAGTCTCCAGCAAGCCCGACTTCATTTTTTGCCAGATAGACTATTTCATTAAAAAACAATCAATCCCTTTGTCTGCTTAATCACTGTTCTGACAGTCTGCAAAGGAAAGACGAAGAATTCCTGCTCCATGTGGCACTGCACAGAGTCACATGAAGGCTAAATGGAAAGCCAAACCTAATTTTGCAAGAAGCTATTAGGAGCCGTGGGCTCTCCAGTCCCGCAAGGATAAAATCTTAACACAACAAGGTCCAATGTTTAAAAAACGACTGCCTGAAGGTCTGCTCATCAGCCTGCACTTACCCATTTAAATACCTGGGTTCACGGCATGCAAGGGTACTTAGCAAGCAGCAGCTCCATTGTGAGTTTGATGGGAGATGCTGGCTGATCAGGACTGTTCAAAGCCACACCAGTTAATTTGGTACCTTCTTCCTCACTGCATTACTAAGATAACCACTTCCCTTAACATCCAGGATTAATAATAATTCAAAATGGAGTAATGAAATAATAGATTAAAAGAGATCGAACCTCTGCAAAAGGAGAACTGACATCAAGTGACGCTTCTTATAGTTCAGATAAACGAAAATAATAAACAGAAATTGCTTCCCAAAGCAGCAATTATTTTAGGTGATGCATCAAAACTGAGCTGAAAAGCCAAGATCTCTCCCCTGGACAAGCCGAGCAAACAGGACTCAGCTCCAAACATCTGAGCAACACTGGCTGAAAAAAAATAATGAAAGATGAGACAGAGGCAAGATGTCAATTGACTGAGGGCATATGGGAGACCTAAGGACAACAATCAATCATGGATCTGTAAGCTGTTTCAAACTATTCAGTGCAAAGGAGCCAGTGAGGGAGCAGCATCTGTGTGCTCAGACTGGCTGCAGCACCTCCAAAACCCAGCTCAATCCAAATTAGGGGGATGCACTGCCATGAACACCGACTCCCCGCACTCCCTCCCACTGGCAGACAGCCCACAAAACCTGCACCCTGTCACAGGGAGTCACTTGAGCATGGAGACAAAGCCCAGGTCTCTAAATATTTAGACAGCCCATGTGTTTTTGGCAGCATGTTGGGTTTCCTACCCAGGGTTTGCAGGGTGCCTGCTTGGACATGCCGGGATGGCAACGCCCAGCACAGGCCGCGGAGCGTGCAGGTTGGATGGGGAACAACCACAACCACTGCTGCTGTCTTTGAGGCTAATCAGGTTTGATGTCTCAC